TAAGCCTCTCCTCATTTTTCTGAATTCTTGTTTCTCTAGTTCTGGCTGAATGTTTATTTCTTTCTTCTGTTACAAATCATTGATTTGAGTCCCAGTTTCCTTCCTGTCACTGTTGGTTCCCTGTATATTTTCATCTCACTTTGCATAGACTTCACTTTTTCCTGTGTTTTGCAACCATACTCAACCATTTCTGTGAGTGTCCTGATTACCAGTGTTTTGAACTCTGCATCTACAGGTTGGCTATCTCTTTATCACTTAGTGCTATTTTCTGAGCTTTGATCTGTTCTTTCATATGGGCCATATTTTTTTGTGTGTCAGTGTGCCTGTTACATAGTAAGGAGTGGAGCCTCAAGCATTCACCAGGGTGGGGCAACCCACATCACTGCATTGTGGCACCATATGTGGGGGAGGGGTGCGAGAGGGAACAATGCTATTTCTTCAGCTCTCTGCTGGCTTTCAGTCACTTCCCCTGCTTCCCACAAGCAAATTGGGCCCTTCTGGTGCTGATTCCCAGGTGGGTGAGTTTGTGTACATTCTAGGACCCTGTAGGTCTCTCCAGCAAACTCTCTGTGAGGCTGGGAGTTTCTCCCACCACTCCAACTCCCACAGGCTTTTTTTAGTCAGAGGTTTTGAGGCTTTATTTCCCTCTGCTGGAACCCTGGGTTTCATAGTCTGTCTCACTCCCCAGTTGTTCCTCCTAGTTTATTCACACACTGATGTGGGACTGCCCGCTCTGCCAGCCGCTACCTCCCCAACCCTGGTCCTCCAGCGTGGCCTTGCTGTGAGTCCTCTCCACCCCAGCTGCCCACCTCTGTCCCTCCTACAGGTCTGGATGAATGTTTCTTCTTTAACTCCTTGGTTGTCAGACTCCCATACAGTTTGATTTTCTGGCAGTTCTGGTTATTTTTTATTTTTAAATTGTTGTTGTCCTCCTTTCTTTCAGTTGTGCAAGGAGGCACAGTGTGTCTACCTACGCCTCCATGTTGGCCAGTAGTCTGCTGTCTTCCAACACCCTGAATTTGGGATTTCTAAGTCTTCAGACCATGAAAGAATAAATTTTAGTTGTTTTAATACACCCAGTTTATGGCAATTTGTTCCAGTAGTCTTGGGAAACCCTTACAAAGGTGACAGCTTCCTCCTGGCTCGTCCCCTCCCTCTGTCTGTCAGGGTGCTCAGCCTGGGAGCCCGGCCCCCACGCTTCAAGGAAGCCAAGCAGCCACATGGAGGTGCTTCAGCTCTAGCTCCACTGAGGTCTTGGGTCACTGATCACCAGACACATGCGGAAGGAAACCTTCAGGCGATTCTGCCCCAGCATTCGAGGTTCACAGGCAGTGACATGGTATGGAAGAGACACATGTTGTGCCCACTGAGCCCTCCCACAGAGAAGACACAAGAGCAAAATAAATGTTGTCTGTCCTGGTTTTAAATCACTATGTTTTTGGGTAATTTGTTATACAGCAATAGATAACTGAAATAACACATGTATGTGTAGCCTGTTCACCTGAATCAAATGAAGAACTTCCTATCCAAAACCTAGTCACCTACACCAGTTAGCTATCAAGGTAATCAACTAAAGTTCCTCTCAACAAACATTTATGAAGAATTCTCTTATCTCGAACGATACCCCTGATTTTCTACCTTTGAAGTAGTTGCCTCAACACCCCTAAAGTAACACTCCATCAATAGGCCAAAAGTTTCTGTGTCTTTTTAAATGATGTGCCAAGCCTAGATGTGGTCAAATACGTTCATCATTTCAAGAACCCCTTTTACATCCTACGATTTTCATGGCACACCTACCTGCATCATAATGATCTGAGAACTTCAAAAATATGGTGCCCGTGCCTGTGTGTGTGATGGTGTGTGTATAATCTTTAAAATAAAACAATCCCGTATTCTCAGAGGCCCACCACCCAGAGGATCTGACCCAGTGTGTTTTAAGTCTGTGGTTTTGTATGAGCAAGCTCCCGTGTGACTGCTCTGAAACAACTTCCATAACAAATTAGTTCCAACCCCAACACTGGGGATAAACAGCAAGTAGGCCTGATGACCTGAATGACAGCCGCACCGCTACACACTAGCACACGGCAGAGGCTCTCGCTGGAATGACAGCCACACCGCCGCACACTAGCACGTAGCGGAGGCTCTCACCAGAATGACAGCCACACACTAGCATGCGGCGGAGGCTTTCCCTGGAATGACAACCGCACCACCACACACTAGCACACAATGGAAGCTCTCACTGCAATGACAGCCGCACCGCCGCACACTAGCACATGGCGGAGGCTCTGGCAGGGAGCACGGCCACCGACCAGACAGCAAACTTAACTGACTGGCCTGAAGTCACACGACCGACCGAGGAGGGTACGACCTGGACACACGTCTGCCTGGCCGCAGCCCGGTCTGTGCCTTTCACCACCACCCAGAGCCAACATTAAAATCCTCCTGGAACTAAGAAACTTACACCCATCCCTAAAATGAAAGGAACTTTTTACATCACGTATCTTAAAAATTAAACACTCTAAATGTAAAGGGGACTTACATTCTTTTTCAATGGCTCTTTGTCTTCCAAATGTGTATTTTACCTCCTTTACTGGAACTCTTTGATCGGCAACATGTGCCAGAAGATGTTCATTGTGACTACAAGAGCCTCCCTCCGCTTGGGTCCCCAAGCAGTTCCAAACTTGGGGATGAGGTAGGAGGGCTCCGACCACCCATTATGCCCCCCTGTTAAAAAAAACAAACAAACCAAAAAAAAAAACAAAAAACAAAAAACCAGGGAGGGGTGAGGGGGAAAGGCAGAAAATTATACTTGAACAACAATAAAAAAATGTTAAAAAAATTTTTTTAAACCCATAAAAGTGAAGCATTAAGAACAGAGGTCAAATAGTCACCTGATTTCTGGCTAAAATTAGTTTTCCCTCTTGTTTCATTCTACATGGGAAGATGTTTTTAAGAAACAGCTAGTCAGTCATGTTTTAAAGAATTCCAAGTTTGGCTCTTATCTCCACAACAAACTGTACTCACATGAACCAGCATTTCTATCTTAGGACTTGCCTGTGGTGATGACGCCTCACTGACTACATTACTGGAATTCTCTAGAACAAATGGTTCTGTACGGCACGTCCTCTGAGGATTCTGCCCACATGATACGGGAAGCCCAGGTATTTATGTTTCACAGGGGACTGGAGCGCCACCAGCTTGGACCCAGGTCAAGGCGAATGCCCATGAGCAGAAACTGCCCTGTAACAACCTCTTTCCCCCTCTACCTAAAATGTGCAACCACACTTTCATGCAACACACAAACAGAACCAGAAGTTTGGAGTAGGAAAGAGATTAGTCTAGAATTTTGGATTTCATGGTTCTAGTAAAATTTCAGGAGCATTTGGCAGACTGATGGAGTTAAAAAAAAGACACTTTAAAGTAACAACAAGCACCACACAGAAACAGACACACACCCACACCCACACTATCTTCTATCACTACTATTTCAAAAAGAAAAAAACTAAAAACAAAAATGTAGAATGGCCAAAGGCTTCAAGTAAAACACAATTCCTTCTAAGGAAAAGAGAATTAAGTTTTCGGGTAATGACATACACATGGGCTAGAGAGGCAGAGAGATGCAGTAAACCGCCTTGTTCTTTCTCACCCCCTACAGACTGGAAAAACTGCTCTGACTGGTCCCAGATGGGCTTCTTCAGCCCTTCCTCCCACCCAGCTTGGGGGCCCATCTCAGCCCAGCCTCCACTGGGTCCCCTTCCCCAGCCCAATGTCCCCCAGCTCCTGTCACACTCTTCCTTCCTAACCAGGCAGAGGACCAAGGTGCCAGAGACATGCTCTTGTATGTCCTACAAATCCAAGATGGAATTTCTGTCAACTCCACACCCTAGAGTAGAATAAACTCTACTTCCTCCCAAAAGTGTGCTTTAAAGGGGTTCCATCTGTGTGCATCTGTGCGAATTGTCTAAGTCCTATTCTATTCCGTTAAAAAGGATTTCACAAACAGGCACAAATAGTGTCACCACACAGGAGAAAAGTAAAGAGAAGTCAGGATGTACTTGACTGTAATAGCATTAAAATTGGAACAATTTCCCAGGGGGAAAAAATATACATTTGTGAATATGGGAAAGTACTCTGCAAATGAAAAAAAAATAGTATTCCTCGTATTTTTATACCAGTTAGGTAAGAAAAGTCCGAGGCCCTACCTAGAAGTGGCTCATTTTCTGCTGAAGTGCTAGTGACAAGTCATACTAAAATGAAGTCCACCTTCAAGATAATGGATCTCAGGATATGACCTCTTTCCAATAAACCAAGTATTTCAGAGGACAGAGGTGAACACATTAGTAAGAGCCAAAACCTTCTAGGTAATAAATAGCCATGAACTTGATGCACTTTAGAAAAGAAGACATTAGTACTTGCACCATTATACAAATTCATAAACAAGAAAGTATAGTCAACCATCCCTAAGAAAAACAGAAAACACCAAGACATATAAAGCTTAGATATGTTAATTAGCAGGAAGCCCCTTTTTAATCTCTGTAGGATTTGATTTTTATTTAAACTTAAAATCCAGTGTTCTTGAGTCCCCTACTCTCTGTTAGTTCTTATTTAGAGGTCTGCAACTCTTCCAATGCAGGAGACGTAATGAGGGCACAAATGCTATTCTTCTTTGAGATGTAAACATCCAGCACAGGACTAGTAGAGAGCTGAGACTTAACACGTTTGTAGGCAGTAAGAAAAAAAGCCAACAGGAAAATAAATCTGATGCTAAGGTAGTTCTTTTGCATTTCTCTCATTTATCACCATTGCAAAGGCTTTTACGAGAAGCCCACCCTAGAACTAATGGGCAGATGGGATGAGATACTCAAAGCTTCATCAAGAGGCTAACTCCATGCATTTACATAACTATACACAGAGTCACTTATCCTCCCCTCGAGAAGAACTGGACAGTGAGTAAACCAGCATTCGGGACAGAGAGCAGAAGAAAACAAAGCAGGCCTTGCCTTTTCATCCTGGTGCAGCTTGTTGACGCTCTCCATCTGAAAGTTGTGGCTGGACTGGATCTTGTCGAGCTGCTCCCGCTGCTTCTCCAGCTCGCCCTGGAACTCGTTCTTCTTCAGCTCCACAGCGCCCCTCTCGGCGGCCGCCCTGCGGACCCTGCCTTCCAGCTCCATGATCTGCGTCTACAAGGACACCACAGCATGAGGGCAAATATCAAGCCCTCCCTGCAGACCAGGCCATCTGAGCAAAGACAACACGGGGCGCAGAGCCAGCAGCAAGCCTCACACACACGGTGTGTCCCCAGGGCTCAGTCTTTAAAGTCAACTGTGTAGAAGCTACAGCAGGTTTTTCTAGAGAAACAGTCTGGAAGCAGCAAATATGTCTACACGACATGTCTCCGTGGAAACACCCCCACACCAGGAGTTTGTGAGGTTTAAATAAAATAAGTACATAAAATGCCCCATGCTTTACCTGGTATGAGCTGGTGCTCAAATATTTCATTCTTTTCCTCACTGACAGAGCCCTTAACCACTCCTTACCAGACAAAAGTTTTAAAGACAGATTCAGTTCTCCAGCTGTGGACACCCAGCCCTCATGTGCAAAGACACTGGGCTCCAGGGGAAGCTCAAAGGCGCTGCACCACTGATGGGTGAGCAAAGCATGAGAGGAGGACGGAGCGCGCCGGAGCGCTGAGCTCCAAAGTCAGACTGACTGGGTAGGAATCCCAGCTTGCCCAGCACTTTACCTCTCTGTGCCTCAGTCTGCCTACCTATGAAATGGGGAAAATAAAGTCCCAACCTTGTAGAGCTGTGTACAAATGATGACAGTATGTATAATGTACTGTTAATGAAAAAAAAACTACTCTAAAAAACAAAAGAAGAAAACACTATTCTGATGCTTGTTAAAACAGTATGGAAAGCTTTCTTTGAGACTGCCACAACAGGGGTCATGACTGTGGTGGGAGGGTGAGAAACCGTGCTCAACTCTGAGTACAGCAAAGATGGCAAAGCATTCCAGCCACAGAGCGCCCGCAGGTGGCAAGCATTCAAAGAAAACATCTAGGGTAAGGGGACTCTTGCTAAAGGCACACGGAAGGCTTAAAGAGTGAGGGATGAGGAGCTTGATCAGAGATGGGGATACTTAGCAGGATTCTCTGCTAAGCCTGGGCTGGGCAGGTCACAGACAGGATGGGGTGGGGGACAACATAGAGGGCTACTTGTAAAGGGGGCCCGAGGGGCCCGAGGAGCCCGATTAGAGTTTGGTCACAAAGCATGTCTGTCATTGCTAAGCACTGCCTGACCCACGACAGGCAACAGGAGATGGGAAAGCTAAAGTATTACTATCACTAAGCAGTGATGATACAGACTGGCACCTTTAACAACTCATTCTCACACCCATTCTGCAACCTCCTTTCCATCAGCAGTGTCTGGTACCTAGGACGATGGGAGGACGCGAACAGGTGTGGTCGGTGCCCTTCGCCAAGCGGTCTTCCCAGCACCAGCCCAAACGGCTCAACTCAAAGTTCTTAACTCACAGGAAAAGCAGAGAGGGATGGCCTGGCAGCAAGCCTAAGAGGTCCCAAGGGGGCCCTCTCCCACCCAGGAGCAGAGCTGGAGTGGAGAGTGGGGCCCAGGCCGGCTGCGGGCACATGCAGAGCCCCAGACTCGCGTTGCAGGGAGCACACACCACTGAGCGCAAGGCCTCAGGGGGCGACAAATACTAGCCCCTCGGACCCCATCCATCCAGCAGGGTTAGGTACTCCACAGGGATGTCCAGCCTTTTGGCATCTCTGGGCCACACTGGAAGAAGAGCTGTCTTAGGCCACACTTTAAATATATAAACACTAACAAAAACTGATGAGCAAAAAAAAAAGGTTTTAAGTAAATTTACAATTTTGTGTTGGGCCGCATTCACAGTCATCCTGGGCTACGTGTGGCCGGCGGCCGGCGGCCTGCAGGCTGGACACCCCTGCTAGGACACCCCTGCTACAACACTCATAGAAACAAAACAAACAGACAAAACACCTGGAGATCCACGCTCCGGGAGCTCGCAATCCAGTAGTTGAAGCCCAAGACAATGTTACAGGCCACCAGGGCAGCCAGCACGAAGGGCGGTGACTTCATGGTCCGACGCCCGTTTCCCAGTCCCATCATCTCAAAGGCCAGGCTGAGAATCTGCCAAATAAATACAAATATACAAGCTTCAGTAAGAGCATCCCATGCCCAAAGCAGGCCACGTCCATTGTCCCAACCAACAGGAAGGCATCCTCAAAGCAAGAGTGGCGTCTCCTCCTTGAAATGTGAAGCTGCTAAGAGAGAACAGGTAAGTAGTCCCCACAGTGGGCAGTGGGGCTGGCCCCCCAGGGCAGGCTCACAGACCGCGGGCATGTGCCTGCGTGTCTGTTTCCTCATCTGTAACATGGAGACAGAATTACTAAGGGTGCCCAGCTAAAGCATTTCTTGAGCAAAGCAGGAAAGCACTCCCCCCACCCCCCACACACACCCGGAGTGGGAATTCGTTCTGTGTAAGTCAGGGACAGACAGGGCCTGCAGGCAGAAATGAGGCCGTCACCCTGGCTCACTCATTTTTCCCCCTTCAGGGCCCTGACCTGTGCAACCACAGCACGCTGAGCCACACAGCACAGTTATGCAGACTTTGGGAGCAGCAGAGAAACCCAAGCTTCTTTAAAGAAACACAAATACAGCTCTCAAAGAAAGGAGCCATCCATTTGGTTCACCAGCTTCAATCAACGCCAGGTCTGGCTGGATCCCAGCACTGGCCACCAAGGACAAAGAAAACTGACTTTGCCAATAGGCTTTTGCTGAGCGAGATAAGACGGGACCTTATCAGAGGGAGGGCAATAATCGCTTTGATGCCCAGTGGGGCCAGCAATGGAGGAGGAGGATGGTGGGGTGAAAAGAGAACGGGGTGGAAGGGGAGGAAAGACCACCAGGGACACAGCTTTTCAGGAAAGTTTCTGTGAGAACACAGAAAAGCTGGCAGAGCCCACTCACCCTGTGGGAGAAGTCCTCTTTCTTAGCACAGGCACACTCTGTTTTATTGCTCTTCAGTTTACTGAGGTTCATAGGTGTTGCGTTTTTAACAAATGGAGAGCAAGGCCCTCCACCAGCAAAAAGATGGTGACTCGCTTTCCTGGAAGACGTGCTTTACTGCGGTGGCCTGAAGTGGAACCGCAGCATCTCTGAGGCATGCCTGCACCCAGACAAGGCCTGCTCCTCCACTCCGATTCTAAATGGACTTAAGGCCGGGGCCTGGTACTGGTGTTTTTTAATCTCCCCGGGTTATTCTAACGTGCAGCCAGTTTTCTCAATGTTTCTGGATGCATTTACAAGGACGCAAGACCACTGGCACTGTTCTGTACGTGCCATGAATCACTTAGTAATGCATCTTGTCTCCCTTTTGCTGGTAGCACATTATAGTTGGCTCCATTCTGTTTAAAGGGCCGACTCGGGCACCACTGTGTACAAGGATGCACTTAGCCAGCTCCCACAGAGGGCCATCGGGGTATTCCAAGCTTATTCCCAACAATGCATCACAAACACTCTTCTGCATCCACACCTGTGTTTGCAACATCTTATCCAGGTGTACAATCCCTCATCCCCAATTCAGAAATCCAGAATGCTCTAAAAACATAAAGGAATTTTTAATCACGCAGCCAGTAACAAAACCTGACCTGAAATCAGATCAAAGTCTGCCCAGATCTCACCTGAAGCTACTAATGATAGTTTTGATCTTTCTCCCTTCATGTGAATATTCACATATTTTGCTGCAGGAAGATTACTGTTTGACTATGAGGTGCTGCTACAGAGCCTCTGGGGTTGTCGCATAATATATAACAAGTGCATTGTATTAACTTCTGAATTCTGAAAACATTCTGAATTCCAAACACATCTGGCCTCCAGGGGTCCTGGAAGGAGGGTAAACCAGCAAGGAGCTTACTGTGCATGAGGCACTGACCAAGTGCTTCCCATACGGGGGCTCACTGATGCCTCCAGCAGTGCCAGGGGGCATTCCCACCCCATACTGTAGAGGCTGGAACACCACAGACAGCTGGGGATACAGTTCAGTACGTGGAATTGCTGGGCCAAAATATATATGTGTTTAACACTGACAGCTCTCATCGCCTCCAAAATATTTAGCAAATTACAAAAGGAAAACAAAACCTTTACAGTGGAGAACCCCAGCAGACACGGCCTGAGTTGGCCATGTGGTCAAGATTAGCATCAGCAGTAATGAGACACATCAACGTCACCAACCACCTGACAGGAAGCACCAGGAGAAAACTTCTGAGGAACTCAATCGAGGGCCATCGAACAAAACATCAGACTGACACTCTTCGAAACCTGTCAAGGTCATGAAAACTAAGGAAAAGACTAAGGAACTGTCACAGGCTTAACAACTACACGGACACGATGACTCAGCGCGAGACGGCGTCCTAGACAGGATCCTGAAACAGCAAAAGACCACTGGGGGGGAAACTGGTGAAATCAAATAAGTTACGTGCTTTGGTTAATAAGAGAGTGCCAGGGTTAATTTAATTTTTTTTAAAGATTTTATTTATTTATTTTCAGAGAAAGGAGAAAGGAAGGTGAAAAAGAGGGAGAGAAACATCCATCAGTTGCTTCTCACACCCCCCCAACTGAGGACCTGGCCCTGGCCCACAACCCACGCATGTGCCCTGACTGGGAATCGAACCAGCAACCCTTTGGTTCTCAGAGCCGGCACTCAATCCACTGAGCCACACCAGCCAGGGCTAATTTCTTTAATTTTGATAAATGTAAGGGGAAGGTGGGAGGAGGATGTATGGGAACCACCTGTACTGTTTTTGCAACTCTTTTACAAATTAAATTTCTAATGAAGTTTTGATAGATCTTATCATGTTGGCTTCCAAATCATTTCCAATAATTAACCCTTCCATCAGCTGCATGAGAATTATTTGTTTTCTTACACAATAACACATGAACTTTTAAATGTGTGGTAATCTCATTAGTAGCGATATTTAAAAATACATTTCTTCAATTATAGGCATAAATGAAGATCTTTTCATTCACTGGTCATTTGTATGTTCATTTTGGTGAAAGACATTTTCATAGCCTCTGCCCATTTGAAACTGGAGTGTTCATCTTATTGATTTGTAAGAGCTCCTTGTATATTAAAGATAAATTAATCTTTGCTCTTTCATGAAATAATTTTTTCTCAATTTTTCATTTATTTTTTGACTTTCTCTGAAATTTTCTGCCCATAGTTTTTGGTGGTGCTTTTAAAACAACCTAATATACTATGGCTGGTGTGGTTCATTGGTTTGAGTGCCAGCCTGCAGACCAAAAGGTTGCCGGTTCAATTCCAGTCAGTGCACATGCCTGGGTTTCAGGCCAGGTCCCCCACAGGGGGCGTGCAGGAGGCAACCAACTGATGTTTCTCCCGCACATCAATGTTTCTCTCCCTCCTTTCTCCTCTCTCTAAAAAATAAATAAATAAAACAACCTAATCTTGTCAATCTTTTGTTGCTTCTGGATTTTGTTTAGAATTAGAAAGACATTTCCCACTCTCTCTGAGTTTCAAAATACATTTACACATATCTCCTCTCAATGTAGTTATGGTTCCACATCTATATTTAAATCTTTCATCCACTTAGCATTCCTTTTTAATGTAAGAAGTAAGAAGTACAAAGAAAAAGGCTTTCTCTCACTCTCTCTTTGGGTAATGGCTAGCTAGTTCTTTCAGTACTCTTTATCAAACAACCTATTTTTATCTAGTTACTCCTGGAAAGGCTATTTTTATCTAGTTCTGCCTGGAAAGGCTATCTTGTTCACACACCTAACCCCCTAACAATAATTTTAGATAAGATCCTTCAATGATCTTTTGTTGTCCCAGCATATATGTTAGTGGATAGGTGTACTTTTAAGTCTGAAAACAGAATATGAAGTCAGTTCAGTCAGTTCTCACTTCAAGGGAAGTGCACAGATGACTGTTTAATATTCTCCTCCCTTTAGCCAGTCAATAAAAAATTTATTGAGCGACCATGAGTCAGGCGCTGTACGAGCAACCAGGCAGCTCAGGGCAGTGTTAAGAGAACAAATACTGAGACCCAGTGGCCAGTGTCAGATCCTGGTTCCACCTCTTCGGAGTCACAGGACCCACCTGTGCCTCACTGCCCTCTGCCTAGGGTTACTGTGAGGGTCAAGTGAGCTACGATACGAGAAGTGCTTGGAACCACATCTGGCCCATGGTAATCAGCAAATGTTGACTATTACCATTATTAGAGGTGGAAAGATGCATAACAAATTATTTCCAGATCTAGGCTTTTCGTATTTTATAAGGAAAAGGTGATGAATGTTTTCTTCCCACGACCGTTCTATTGAATAGAAAGCAGCCGTCTGCATTTCTCCCACTGACGCTTCTGTACTCGCAGCAGCAACTGCACCACCTGCAGCTGACTCACAGATGCCGCGGCACACACAAGTCCAGCCTCGGAAGCCCCTTGCTGTGCCCCAGTGCGCTGCTGGCCAGGAGGGTGTGCAGCTGCTCAGAGGGCTCGGTTGGGAGAGCCCTGGGCTCCCAATGGACACAGGGCTGCCCCGGTAAGAAGGTCACCACGAGGAAGTAAGGGCCCTTCCGATACTCGCCCTTCAGCCCTGCAAAGTGCCCACCCCTGCCTTGCAGGACCACAGAAACCACTAGTGCTGAATATCAAGGGGCAGCTACAGGTGAGGAAGGACAAAGACTGAAGAAGACTGCACGCGGTCATTCAGAGCCAGAGTTCACAGCTGTCAAAACTATCAACGTTCTCCTTCCCCCTACCTTAAATGTAATGTATGTGCACAGAGCGGGTGGTGTACGTGAAGAGGAGATATACTGCATCAGAAATATTAACATTCATTGTAATTTAGGCTTCAGACTGTGTTTGGTCTCATGTTTGATTACCGGCATCTGATCGTACTAAAAAAGTGATTAACCTAAACCAACTACACTATCTGAAACCCCAGGCTTCCCTGCAGTCAAAGTAGTGTTTCTGCATTAAAAGTCTCTTGGTAAATTGGAAAAGTCACAAAACACTGCAGATTCTTTCTTACTGGTTTGATTTTAAAAATTTGACCTTCTGGTTAAAATCATTGTTGCTTTATAAGACAAAAACTTTTTATAAGAAAACACA